TGATACGTAGCGAAAAAGATGAAGACAAGTTTGAGGACGAAAAAATGGAATAGCTCGATTAATGTATATATTATAGTAAATGTACTTTAAATATATATTACGAATAGTTCATAATAATTGAATATTTAAATTGAAAGTCTTCGGCCTGATACGCTGATTATAATGACCCCTAGCTTTTCGATACCATTTTTGTAGTATTATTTGTCCTATGCTTCAAAATAGCTCTGGGTTTCTGTGATCACGTCTTTATTCAACGAAAATTTCTTCTAAGAGGGCAATCTTTTAAGATCTGATGAATTTTGGTAGTAGGCCGGAAACATTTTCTAGTCAAAGAAATGGTTTCGATAAGTTTTTGAACTAAAACAAGTGACTTTAGGAAGTGATCATTGACTGGTTTAATATAAATAAGTAACATTTTTTAGTTGCAAAATATAATAAATACATTTGTTATAAACACAAGATTACATGGATAGAAAAGTCTGTGCAAGATACTCACAATATTTCCAATTAAATTATTTAATTTTTCCACTGTAATTGAATTTTTATTGTCACAATTTTTTTAAATTATAGTTAACCATTGTAAATTTATAGAATAACCGGCTGTGGTGCGTTTTCGAAAAATTCCTCAATACAAATAGGTTTCATTAGAATCCACTAGATGTCGCTTTAAGCATAAAATGACGTTTCATTTGACACACTTCGAGACAGACGTGTCAATAGACAACGAAATGAAGATTGCTGTTTTGTTCGCGGCGCAGAATCTTTTCACATTATTTTTAATTTTAACTAAAAAAAATAACAATTCTTAAAACAAAATCATTGCCCCGTCACGTAGCAAATACTAAATTCACCTGTTGGTATCTAAAAAGTGCATCAATAGAAACTTGTAAAATAAGAAGTCGAGAAAGTTTGTAAGATAGCATGGCGGGGCAAAAATTCCAGTATGATGAAAGTGGTGGAACTTTTTATTATTTCCTCCTATCATTCCTCGCATTAATTCTTGTACCCACAACCATTTATTATTGGCCACGCAAGAAAAAAGAAGGTAAGTTCTTTATTGAGAGTAGTGACAATTTTAAGCTGGTCCATTGAATTTTCCCATATAAGTTCAGTGTGAAGCATACACCTATATAAAATATTCACCATCCAGTAATTCAGTGGAAATCCATAAGCATAACAGCAGTCGACACGTTCTATTAAGAAGCAATGTCGTCGTACTTGGTGAAAGTGGCAAGTAGTATTAACAACAACATCAAATTATCACGATGTGTCAAGATCGGTGAATCGAATGCCAAGCGTAATAGTGAAAAAGCCCCACTTGACGAACTAACTACCTGATTAAGCTGACAATTGCATGTGATGAACGAAATGCGGGGTAGAGAAATAAAAATGTTAGATACATTTATTAATCTAGCCAAGTTTACACAGATGTATAGTGCATAAGCGCTTGAAAAAGCTCGTTTAATAATTGTTATATTAAAACACTTTCATATAATTAGTTTAGCTTAAACTATCTTTAGTTATCAGTTAAATTAGTTATTAAAGTATATTGTCCATTTTTCACAAACATATTTGTTATGATGTTCTTTCTTCTTTTTTACAGATGTTAATAAACTGAAGGAAGAATGCTTATGCCCAGACTGTATAAAGAAAAAAGCGATATTGGCGGCCGCGGAGCCCTATCGTATGCTGAAATCGTTACTAATTAAGTTGTGTTTAGTATTTGGTTGGGCACTGCTTGTATTACTTGCATATCGCGTATCACAATTTGATTATGAAATGGCCAGTTTCGATCCATTCGAAATTCTACAGTTGCCCCCCACCGCCTCCATGGAGGAAATAAAGAAAACGTATCGTGAATTGTCAAGAGTACTGCATCCAGATAAACCAACTGGTGATGAGAAATCTTTCATGATGTTGCGCAAGGCGTATCAGGCACTCACAGACGAAACAGCCAAGCAGAATTATGAGAAATATGGCAATCCTGATGGACCCGGTGCAATGTCTTTCGGCATAGCTTTGCCATCATGGATCGTCGAGAAAGAAAATTCCGTATGGGTACTTGGTCTATATGGCTTGATATTTATGGTAGCTTTGCCATCTGTAGTAGGCATGTGGTGGTATCGTTCAATACGCTTTTCAGGTGATAAAGTTCTGTTAGATACCTCGCAAATGTATTTCTACTTCATACATAAAACACCACATATGTTATTGAAGCGCGCTCTTATGATACTTGCTGCTAGTTTGGAATTCGATAAACGGCACAACTCACAAGTCGTCGAAAGACAATCGGACAACGAAGAAGTACCAGTAGTAAGTTATTATGATTTGTTAACAAATTTGAATGTATTTGAAAAATAAAATATATATTTTTTCATTAGCTTATTCGACAATTGCCTAATCTAAATGAAAAGTGCAAAGAGCACCCTCTCTGCCGGATGTACTCGATCAAAGCACGCGCTATATTACATGCTCACCTCTCACGTATTCCTCTTAATCCAGAAACATTAGAGAAGGATCGTCAATTTATTGTTAAAAAGTGTCCATACCTAATTCAAGAGATGGTGTCCTGTGTGCATCAATTAGTTATGTTGGCGTATGCGAGACGAGTTCCCCGTCTTCCCAGTATTGAGACTATAGAAAACTGCATGAAAATGTCTCCTATGATTATTCAAGGTTTGTGGGACTATAAATCTCCTCTACTTCAATTACCTCATCTCACTGAAGATCAGCATCTTTATTATATCAACAAAAAAAGACATATTAAAAATTTGCAGCAATTTGCGCAACTAAAACACGACGAAAGTAGGCAACTGTTAAAAAGTCTCTCTGACTTTGAGTATGAAAATGTTATGAGAGTTTTGGGGAAATTGCCACTGATTGATTTCTCCATTCGCTGCGAAGGTAAAATAATAAGCATTTTAAAATCGAACCATCTGTTTTCAAATACGTATATTTTTCTATTAGTTATCGATGATGAGAATACAAATGTTGTAACTGCTGGCGCAATAGTAACTGTTACGGTAACGTTAGTGCGTAAAGACATGAAGACCTTATTTGGTGATGCCAAAGTACCAGAAAAGCAAGGTATCAAGTAAGTACCTACCACTTTTTTTCAGTTAATTCATTTGTAATAGAATGCTATTATATGCATTTTTTAAATTAGAGCTTAATGCTGCTTAGTTCAGCATTAATCTATTGATTATAAACATATAAATATGTCCATTAAAATTTCATTCTACGGAACAAATACTTTTTCTTTCCAGGGATGACGATGATGCAGCAGCCGGTGGTGGAGGTGATGAAGAAGAAGGTGCTTCTGCTGCAGCTGCAGTACCAGTTAAAAAACAATCTGCTTGGGGTAAACAACGTAAAGGTAAAGGTGGTAAGGGAGGCAAAAAGTCTGCTAATAATCAGAAGCGCAAGGCACCTCCTGTTACCGTAGCGCAAAGCAAAACTACGGCACCTACAAATGCTGATAGTCACGAGCATAATGACGACTCTGACTCTGAGGCCGATGCCAGCGATGTGGAGGATAAAGATTGCTCGGGCGATGAGTCAGACAGTGACAAACCACAAAATAATAAGAGTGAGACATATGATGATGATGACGACGATGAAGCTTGGGAGAGACTTCAAGCCAAGCTTAATAAACGTGAAAAGCTTGAGGGTAAATCCCGTATATCTCACACAGTACACTGTCCTTATTTCCCGGAAGAAAAGCAAGAATACTGGTGGACATATATATGCGATCGTAAGTCTCGCTCGCTACTCACAGCTCCCTACCACGTCACAAGTCTAGTGGATAAGGAGGAAATACAGTTGAAATTTACAGCACCGCGTTGGCCGGGCCTGTATACATTTACAGTATGTTTAAGATCAGGTACGTTTAAAACAAATGTGTATGAATATATATTGAATGCGATTAATTACAAATAAATAAATTTTCTTTAGACTCGTATCTGGGCATGGACCAGCAACAAGAATTGAAATTGGACGTTAAAAAAGCGCCCGTCCCACCTACAGATCACCCCCAATGGGACCTTAGCGAATCGGAGCCTGAAAATAATGAACAGCACGAAAACTCAAGCGATTTCACGACTGATAGTTCCGAGGATGAGGGTACTGACTAAAAACCTTAGATTGTATTGCATTTGTATAATGATCTTACAATACCTATAGTTCATTTTTTATAAAATTTGGTTTTCAAATTTACTTTCTAATATATGTTTGAATTGATTGGATATATTAAAGAAAAATAAGAATTGCTGGGCGAAACTAAATACAAATAAAATATGATTAAGAATAAATTTTTAAAAGCGTAATATTGCAATGGTTTTTAGAAAAAATACATACCTATTTCAAAAAAAGAAATAAAATGTGAAATAAACCCAGAAGGTAATAAAAAAACTGACGAAATCTTTTTTTAGATGACAAATAATTTTGTTAATTTTGTATTTACTTATTTATCCAATTATACAATTTAAAAACAACACATAGAAAGCGAGAAATAATAAAAAATATTAATAATTTAAATTATTAAAATTTATTGAAAACAAAAGAAATCAATTTAATTTTCATTCAATGTTATCCCTATGCAGTCGTCATTTGTATAACAAAAAATACTAAAGAAATAACTTCGTAAATTTCGAAGTTAGAATAATCTCCTCAAATAAGGGTTTCAAACAAGAACTTGACTAACCCTTTAGTTTGTATGGCAGCTATATGAGAGGACGGGTGAAAAAATTCAGAGTGATATCTCAAAAACTGAGCGTTACACATATACAGACAGAGAGATGGATATAAACATATAAATCGACTCAGCTCGTTACGCTGATGAAGGTATCAGCGGTATAAAAATTATCAAAATAAATGCATACAAATGATAAAACGTAACTACAAACGCAAACACATTTCTTCAACTTAAAACTCATTATTTATTGACTGAATGTATATATGTATGTATAACAGTGAATTGGTTTAATTCGCAGCTGCACGCTTCTCGCTAACAAGTAAGTCTTCCACTTTGGCATGGGTGACATTCCTATGCGGTGTAGATTGTGTGAGCCTTTCGTTGTCCATTATTTTATGCTAATAAAAATTTAAAATAAATATTGTGATATTATTAAAGAAGTATGATGTATGTAAAGTATGAACGAATTTGGTAAGTAAATAATTACAAGGAGTATGTTGGCTTGTGTTTACTACGTTCAGTGCTCTCCGGTGATGCATGATCAAATTTACAAATAATGACTCATGAAGTGCTAGGGGGTAACTCCAAAACCATTTTAAAGTGAGAAACTAAGGACGGTGTATTTAATAAATAAAAGTTAACTAGTGTTTGTGAAACATATCCAAAAGCTAAGCAGTCGATCGCGGAAGAGGTTTATCTTAATTTTAATGTTATTATCACTAATCAATATCATCGTGATCGTTGCTAACAATCTCTTCCTTAATGTCATCTTTATTTGCTGCGGTTTCTTCTGCCTTATTAATAACTTTTTCCGCTGAACTTGATTCTTCTTCATCATCATCTTCTTCTTTGCTCGTCACGTTTTCTTCACTTGCATTCTCATTTTCATCGTTATTAGATTCTACATTTTCCTTTTTATCTTCTGTTGTTTTTTCACTCTCTTTTTCAGCAACTTCATTTTTATCACCAACAATCTTTGCATCATCGTTGCCGGTTTTGTCCGTTTCTTCGTTTTCTTTTTCACTATCATCCACAACATCTTTCTCATTTGCTTCAGAATTTTCTGCTTCTTTTCCAGCTTCTTCATCTTTGTCATTACTGACAACATTATCTTGGTTATCCGTTTCTAATTTTGCGGTTTCATCTTTTTGAGTGTTTTCCTCCGTATCTTCTTTCAAAGAATCTGTTTCCACAGACGATGTTTCTGCTTCTGTGACATTTTCTTTTTTCGCCGTTTCCGGTTCCGGCTCACTTTCCGTTTTATCTTCCGCTTCCTCATTGGATTTATCTAATGGTGTGCAAAATTATTTTAATACTTTTGTTTTACTTTTTAATTTTATTTGCATACAAAAGTATGTTCAACACACAAGAACACTAACACTGTTACATTTTACCTTTCACTACTTCCGTTTCTGCTGTGTCTTCGACATTTTCGCTGTCTCCTACTTTTGCGCTTTTTTCTTCGTCGTCGGCTTTAGTTTCCGCTTTTTGCGTCTGATTTCATGATATCAATGATATTTTTACAAATCCATTATAATTAGTTGGGATATTTTTCCAATGTGAGGGGAAAATTGAGATACGTATACATAGGTAAAGCATTAAAAGTGGTCAAAATGGATATACTCTATATCTAAGGCTCAGATTTTAAGCATTCAATGAATTGCTCGTGCGAAGCTTTAAAAGTAATGGCTTAATTTGTAGACACAAACCTCGGTCGGATCGCCTTCTGCATTATTTGGTTTCGTATCGTCACTCTTTGACTGCTCCTCAGCCACTTCTTCTTTAGCAGTCTCTGCTTTGTGTTATAAGTGAGTTAGTAACTTTAAAAGTACTTTACATATATGTATATATGTATGTAGTTTACCTATGGATTTGTCCTCTTCTGTATCGGCTTCGGCCGTTTCAGTTTCGTCTTTCTTTTCTTCATTTTGTTCCTCCTGCGCTTCATTCTTCAAGATCACAATAAATTATTCAAAGTTTCTTGTTGGCAGGTTAGTAAAAAAAAAAGCTCCAAAGCGGCGAAATTTTTATTGGCATTGCAGTTCTCGCTAGACGACAGTTACACAAAAGTACAAATATACATACATGCATGCCGCGCTGCACATAAGTACGCTTACGCCTACATATTAAAAACACATTAAACACCAGCGCAGTGCGTAATATTTAAATTTTAAAGCACATTAAAGATTTCGTCAGTAGTTTTACGTGAGCGTTGAAACTGGCAAAAATCAGCCAATGGAAGTATGTATCTCACACACACTCGATTTATCTGAAGCACCTACTACCATCATTTAACGTTATGCATATAACGTACATGGCTTATGCTACATCGTGGCAATTCAAGTATCTGACTCAATAACCGGACAAAAAAGCAAGTAGATGTTTTTATTATTGTATAAATGTATTTTACGCTCTTTACATAGCAGTCGTTTATGATACACATACATAATTCAGTTTAATTCCTTCAATTAATTGGATTTTTCTTTTCGTAAGCATGTTCTTTTTTGAACCAATATGGCAAGTTAAACTAATTGTCATACGTTTTCGTTCACGTCAAATGTTTATGTTGGGACTTGGTTAACAATACTATTTGCACACAATTATTATGTTCTCATATTAGTTTTAAATTATTTCAATTATCAAAAGTACTAAAATTTTCGCTGTTATCTCTAAGCTGTAAAATAACAATTCAACATTCATTTGTTTTAATTGTTTTATCGACTTCAATTTATGACTATTACTTGCTCCCCTTTGTGACATATGTTTAATTTTGCATTTAAAATGTAAGTACTTCAAGTTTATCATTGATGTTGATACTACACCACAGTATTCTCTGATAAATTCGAAACAATTTCGCTTTCATGAACAAATTATTCAGTTATTAAATATCTGCGTATGAATTAAATACTGTGTATAAAAAAAACAATAATTTTTTATTTTTACAACTGATCTCAATCTCGTGGTAAAACACTTACTAATGCAGGTGCAAAGTGTGTACTGCCCATATAAACAAATCCATAAAAATTAGTATTACATGCAATTAATAGAACCGAAGTAAATGTACTGTGATATAATATATCAAATAAATTATAAAAAATCGTTATTGACGTTTTAAAACGTTATGAAAAATATAAATATTTAGAACTTGCAAATTATTAAAAAAATTTGTTAAAAAATTTCTAAGCACGAATATCCAACTACATTTAATTGAAAAATGAAAAATTTCTAATTTTTGTGTTAACTTGAGAAAACCCAAATTCGTGTGTGGGTATGAGAAACACCGTGGCTTGCTGCAGCATTTCCCTATATACATATAGTTCCGTAAATTGGCACCCAACAAAATTAGGAGAATTATTCCAATTTCTTCTTAGTTACGCGAGTTTGCCATACGGACTATGTAGATATGTGCTTAGAATTAAATAAACCAACTTTTTGACTAACGAATTTGATGAAAGTATAAATACGGTTCTTGTCTTTTTTCATAAACACAAGCAATATTGCTTATTATATCTTAAGAAATTTGATGAATATTAAAAATGAACTAAAAAAGAAATAAATACATATGCATTTCATGTACGTAATGATTATTTAACATACTGTTTGTTAGTTTGCATTGCTTGCTATTCCTTTTTAATTTTACGATAATTGCTCCTGTTGTTATATTAGCACAGTAAAATGTTAAATTATAATTAAATTAGTATTGCAGAAATAAAAAGAAAGTAAGCATACAATAAGTAAAAAAATTTAAAGTGAAAATTGAGGTTTTTAATTACATATGCATATATGTACGTAATATAAATCTTTGTTAATGCTATTACGCTATACAAGACCATTACAATATTTTCTTGTCGTTAGCAATACTTAGCGCTTAGAGTGTAAGAGTTTTTGCAAAAAAAAATCGACTGCTCAAACCTCAGCATTCTTGGTCTCGCCATCATCGTTTGCACTCTCCCCAGCATCGGCAGCAGCTTGACTGTCGTCAGCCGTCTTGCCGACCTCTTCACTTTCAGGTTTCTCTTCTACATTTTCTTTGTTCTCATCATCTGATGCTTTTACTTCGCCATTTTCCTGCTTCAGCTCCAGCTGAGCACTAGAAACAGCTGTGGTATCGGCCGGTGCCAGCTTCAAGAACTGCTCCAATGTATCTATTTCATTGGCCAAATCGAAGGCATCATAATCCCCACAATATTCTTCCTGGTTGAATATTTGTGGTGGCAGTGGATGTCTTGGCTCTGGGTCACTTACTGTCGCACCATTGCTGGTTGACTTTGTTTGCATCAACTCTTTTTCGCTTTCTTTCCCCGGCTCCGTTATGTCCACAATGTCGTACTTGATATTCTTGCTATCCAAAATCATCAAAACGCGTTGCTGGCGTTTTTTGACCTAAAATTTGAAGTACATAAGAATAAATATGAGTATTTATTTGTTATATAGAACTCTTCTATACCAAAGATTTGGAACTCAATGAAACTTGCTAAAGAGAAATGAAATTGAAATTTTTGTACATTTCTTTTATGAGTAACTGCGGTAAATGAATGATACAATAAAATTATATATACAATATATATGTATGTATATACAAATATTAGTTATATGTATAGTTTAATATCTGATTTTTTTGCATTTTCTGATATTTTGAAAAAACTTATAATTTTACAACACACTGTCGATCGAACAATAGATAGAAGTCTGTTTATAATGCCCCCGATTATATTTTGAAAACAGTGTTCACAACGCACATGTATGTATGTTATGTTGTATATACATATGTTTAAAGCTGTTTGACACCGGTAAGGAACAAAGAATAACATTATGCATATACATATGTATGTTAATATATGATACACGTAGGTATACTTAAGAATATTGATAAATAATATTGATTAGATAACTAATGATATGAAAACCAAAATACGTCGTCATCATCAATATTTGATACTATTTTTGTAAAATTTAAATTTAATAGCAAAGATGCGTCACTATTAAGAATGTAACGATCAAGTCATAATAAAATATTAAATACTGTTTACATACTCGTACTTGTTGGAGGGAGTAATTGAAACCACTAAAAATTATAAAACCGGTTTGACCGAATATGGTATACAAGATGACTTAACCGCAGGCACATACATATATATATATATATATATACATATGTACATATTTCCAGCGAATAAGTGAAATATTCATCAAAATTGAGTATTAAAATACATATATAATATCATATGCAGAAATCTTTGAGTAAATACACGGTTTAGTTAAATAAGATTTCTAAACTTTTACTACGTACATATGTATGTATATTACCGACATGTATAATTTTTTGGAAAGTTCGGATCTATTCTCATGCATTCTTTTCTTGAATATAGAAGAGTTTATTTGCTTGCGTATATATTCGTATATGCTACACATTAATTGCCTTTACCTTTACAATTCTGAGATGATGGCACGTAAGCCTATAACATTTATGATTCATATCAAAGAATGAATTTTTCTTAATAGCATAAGCATGTATTATATGAGGCAAATATGTATGTGCGAAAAATTGATTCTCCATTGCGAAAGAATAGTAGATATTACTTCTTATACCCTAATTAGCTTTGATTGCTGTACAATGATTTTCGTTTATCGGATGTAACGCATATTTTAGTTTAACAGGTGGTATCTTTAAATAAAAACCAGAAGTGAAGACCACAACACTACCACAGCTCAAAGTGATGACAAACCACCACAAACACCTTAGCAGTAGCGACCATGTCAAGCATGTATAAAATTTGATCTTTCGCCCACCAGAGAACATAACAAAATCTACTTGACATTTAAACTGCTTCATGCAATCGTTCCGTGGATGGTCGTTCACATATCTAACAATTGTTGTTTTAATCATACTATTACTTTTTGAGTTAACCAATGTTAATCACGTCACCGTAGAATCACCCATTGCCGGAACCAGATTTTTAATTTTTATTTGCACATAAACTAATATTATATTTCGACGAGTTCAGGGCAGCTAGCCCCACCCGCATACATTTCTTTCACACGATAGCCGCAATTGCCAAAATAATTGGCCTCTTAGAACCATATCTACTGAATCCTTACCTCTTTATTTCCGGACATTCCGCTTACATAAACCTTAAGGACCATTTTTAACTTTGAATTGTACACCGATTTAAATAATTGCAAATATTTTTAGAAATTTTTTAATTTCCTCGATGTCCACTTTTCTTTATTTTCGTCACTGTTGCCGTTGCTCTCGCCGCTCCCGTCGTTACTTTCTGCTATAACTCGACTGCGACTCTGTGTTGCTGCTTGCCTGACTACTTTCGACGCGTTTGTTTAACTCAATATCAAATTCCTAACTTTCGTGTTATCGTTCACTTTATTTTAAACAAAATAAACAATATCTTAAATACTCAAATATTTAACACAAATTAAAAGTGGAAATTTTCTATTTCTTTCAATTACAAATTTTCAGCCCTTTCGCTCAAAGCCAATTCACAGATGTGTTGACAACACTATTCACCAGCTGTTCGAAATCTATCTTTATATTGCCGGACTCTTATAATTTATAATTTAGGGTATGCAGAAATTTAAAATAATTATTTTGTATGAGTAGACAGTAACAATATCTCCTGATGTGTGAATATATAATAATCTAATATAATAGATAATATAATATCTATATGAGTTATTTTGTTTTTTTGTTGATTATGCGATAGCAAATATTGCTCACATAAATTTTTGTACTGTTGAGTTAACAGTCGTCTAATATAATTATGGATCCGTTCTGGTGACGAAGATCGTAAGTCGTTATTGACTAAACTTTATTAAAAAGTTCGTTTACTGTTACAAATTAAAGCCCGCTTATTTGCATTGTTTACAATTATTTATTATCATGGTTCATTCTTCTTTTTTGCATTAAAATGTCTTTTAACAAAAGTCTCACCAACAAGCAATGGCACTACTAAACTAGCTTCTGCATACACCTTAACTGGTGAAGCTTCTTTCTTTATTTTACCCCAAGAAATAGCCTCATCTGGTCGAGCACCACTGTCACTGCCATCGAATTCCGAAGCTGTGTTAATAAAAACGGAATAATCGGCTCCATTTCGCATCAAATTCGCATTGCATATGTGATGCTTTATAATACCACCACCAATTATAATCATTCCCGATTTGGTGGCTTTCACAGCCATAGTGTTTAGACGTCGCAAATCAGACAAAATATCCACCACTAATCCGGGGTGACGGAAAGAGTGGAAATACATCATGTCACCTAAGCTACCATCTGTAAGCGCAGGGCAAAACACAGGTATTTTATGTTTTGCAGCCCAGTAGTATATTGAGCTGGTGTCGTTTATCCTTTCCCCAAGTCGTTGTATAATACGAGAAGGAGACCAAATCATGCCTTTCGTTTTTTGCTCTTCAACCATTTCATCAAGTAGAGGCATGAGCCAATCCTCGAACTTGCAATAGTTATCGTTCGGTACAAGCAAGTTACCTATACGATTTATACCACGATCCCTTAAATCTCTGCCAGATAATTCGAATGATCCCATGTACGTGGGAGCTAGACATTTAATAAAGTCTTCTTCAACGCCACCCGCTGTCGTTACTACACAGTCCACCATTTTGTGTTCAACGAGGAATCTTAGTGTTTCCCTTAGTCCCGACGACACTAGATTAGATGTGAATCCAAGGAATATTGTACAGCTATGTTTTCGTCTAATGAATTCATCCGTTTCATGCAAATCGGCTTCTTCAAGTTTTAACGGCTGCTGCCTACAATCAAGCTATGAATATTTTAAAATACATAAAGCTTTCCATAAAAAAATGGATACATTACCATTTGATTGATTTCTCTTATTGCCAATCCAAGATTAGTAGCTTGAAACCCTGTATTAACATATGACTCAAATAATTTTGAGTAATCAATTCCTTGATTCCAATCATATCCCTGCACAATGGGAGTGTTTTCCGGTATATTTTCACTTCGTTTAAGTACCGCTTCTTTGGCGATATCTGGTTCAACGGACATTTTCTATTGTATAATATGTAGGTTCAACCAAATTATTCAACTTTAAATAAAATACTTACAAACTTTATGCAAACTAAACTTTGTTTTGATTTAATTTGAATGTTCGAATATCGAAAGTACCACATGTTTCCAAATGAATAGGGTTAACGCTGCTCCAAAAATATATACACGAACTTGATATAAAATCTTCTAAAGCTGGTAACTTTCAGTTTAAGAAATAAAAATGTAGTACAAATAAATATCTGATTTTATAATCAGAATAATTTAAATATTTTTTAATCCAATTGGAACTCAAATAAAGCAAACCTTTATAATGTATTAAAAATAATGAAAAATTTTACCTGACTGTTGTGACATTGCAATAATAAACGAAGAACGGCAACACTACAACTCACTTTTTGGCATTTACAAATTGAAAGCAGAGAACGTATACGTTCTTTGTTGAAAGTCAAAAATTTGGAGAAACTCAGAAAAGAACAAATCCATATAGAATAATCGAAAAGGATTTTTGGTGTTGGACTATAGGAATTTTAAAAGTAGTTTTACAAAGTATACAATAGTGAAAGTGTTGTTCGAAATAGTGGGGATATATGTAACTCAGTGTGGAAAAAACGCATCATCACAATTAACAACAACAAATTGTGCCAGCGCCCTGACTCCGACCCTTTTGTGAATCTTCAATTGTAGTATTTAATTGCAAACTTATAAACCTAAAACTGTCAGAACAAAAGAGAATCTGGCGAAAAGCAGCAAACAGGAAAAATAACAAAATTACATTATAAGAAAAATACGGAAGTGCACGGAGGAGCAACAGTAACGTTATGATCAAATTGTTTTCACTGAAACAACAAAAAAAGGATGGCGAACAGTTGGCTCGCACCGGGCAGCAAAAGAAAGCATCAGCTGCACAGCTACGTATACAAAAAGGTAAAGTTTATTAAAAATATATATACATATATAATTTAATTATTGTTAAAAGCAAAATAAAAATAAGTAACCTTAACAAAAGGCAATTGTCTCCCAAACGTATGCTTATAAAAATGCGGCTGAATAAAGTTTTAGGTTTTCAAAAGTTAATGATCATATAACAGTGGATTTAGTTTCTATTGTATACAAATCTTTAATCAGTCAATGTAAATGGAACGATTCGGGTTTTTGATTACTTTGGGATGAACGTTGCAGATTTTTATTCACTCATGTGCAATTAGAAAGTCTCCAGTTCGTAGATCCATTAAAAATAATAGCTAAAATCAGTAGAACAATTTCGACTTCTTTGTTTTCTTAATTTTACTAACCTAAATGTGTGTCAACACTCAAATACTCATAAGCTTGGTTTTCTTATTGTGCGGTATATTAAGAATCTCAAAAATTGTTGCTTTGATAACTATTTTAAATTAATTTTTTTTATTTATGTATAGACATCAACGAGTTAAACCTGCCGAAAACATGCGCCACTGAGTTTCCCGATCCAAATGATTTACTCAATTTTAAGCTAACGATTTGTCCTGACGAAGGTTTCTACAGAAACGGACGTTTCGTTTTCAGTTTTCGTGTAGGACCCAACTACCCACATGAACCACCAAAAGTAAAATGCGAAACACAAGTCTACCATCCAAATATCGATCTAGAAGGAAACGTCTGTTTAAATATTTTGCGTGAAGACTGGAATCCAGTGCTGACAATTAGTTCTATTGTTTACGGATTACAATTTCTTTTCTTGGTGCGTTAAATCTGTATATTTTATAATTAGCTTATACTAAAAATTTGATTACTTTACATTTAATTTGAACCATATAATACTTTACAGGAACCTAACCCGGAAGATCCACTGAATAAGGAAGCAGCAGATCAATTGCAATCAAATCGTGCGCTCTTTGAACGCAATGTGTTAAGAGCGATGCAGGGTCATACTGTGGGTGATACCCAGTTTGAGGCATGTCTCAAGTGATACCGAGAATCAACAATTTAATTTTAGGATCAGCGTCTGCCTCCACAACTTTATATTAGGTTTTGGTGGGCGTTTTTATATTAATTTAATTTTCAATATTAATTAAAGAAAGAAAGCAGCAAGATAATTTGATTTGATTTATTTGTGTTGATTATAAAGTCCGCACACTTCATTTCGGAAATCGTAAGTAAGATCCCTCATATTTCACAATTACGGATTAAAAAATAAATTTTTATTTTCATCCCATTAGTATATTAAAATCGATTAAAAACAATAACGTTCACGTAAATCTTCCTAAAAGCAGATTTTTTTTACCAAGTCCTAATCATTTTCTAGTACTTTCTTAAAAAAAATTAAAATGCATTTTTGAATAAACATGTATGTGTATATATATATGCTTGTAGGTACATATATTTAGACACATTTGTAAAATTTACAATTTCAAACTGTTCTCTTTTAAACGAATATTACGCCAAACACTTAAATCAGATACAGCCGACTGCCGTCCAGTCGTTGTGCGAAGATCATTGAGACTGAAATATATCAATAATGTATGTATATCATATACTTTAATATATTTGAATGTATAATAACTTACCGACATATCAAGCCCACGCTAATGTCCTCGGTGGCCATAATTTTGAGTAGATTTTGGACGAATTGTGTAGGCAGTAATTTAAGTACCGGCCGTATACGTTCTCCACCACACTCGACCAGCAAAGAAATAAAACGATATGCAAAATACACTTTTGGCGTCAACTCGTCCGACGTAACAAATTTCTGTAATACTTTAAAGATATGTTGTACACTAGATTGCAATGGCTCTTTAAGGTTTGCCGATCGGACTGCATCTCGTGAAACCGTCGAACCAACATTATCAACATTACTAATAACACCAGCAGCTGACAATAGGGGGTGAGTGTCACTAAGGAAATCATTCGAACATGAGTTATCCGAACCGCCTTCCTGATTCAGTTTTCGTAATTTCGGTACATTATTTAAATCCAAATCACCGCTGTTGCAGTCTTCACTATGCGTACGTGTACGCTTTTGTTGTAAGTTACCAATGGCACCTTGGCGATGTTCCAGTGCCGAAATAATGCAGTATACGGACAGCAGAGCCAAGACATGTGACTGGGGTTCATTTATTTCTCCGCTAAAAGTAGCGAATGAGAGAATAATTAATAGACTATTTTCTTTTATTTATTTAATGTGCATAGTAAAATAACCAAATTTTTTTTTTTGTATGTAGAACTTAGATTGGTAGAAATTACCCAAATCACCTGTTTAATGGAGATTTGGACACTCTAATCGCTCTTAGCTGAAATTTGGCTCTCTTGGAATGCTGTTTTGACATATTTTTAGCTTTCATAACACATCTGTACATATGTACATACATGTGTACGAACATGAACACTTAACATATAATATTTTATAATATCAATTCTAATTTATATTTTATTAACAACCTGGATTTGTTTACTTTCTTCGTTCGGTATTAGTAATTGAATATAAGACATTTAATATACTCACCCAACCATTTTATGTGCATATGATGGTATTACGTCCTTCAGTAGCGCCTCAGTGTTGCGTTCAATGTCCAAGTGTAAAATAGCAAATACTATATCCATGGCTTTCATCATGTCCTTTAAAGAAATCAAAACGTAAAATTTAAATTATTTAATTTTTACTTTTTTTTTTTTTGTTTTGATACTCTAAACTGGGCATATTAATATTTGCGCCATTATGAATGTGATAACGTTCTAGAATTCTGCACATGTATATAGCTTGTTTACTAATTACCTTTGTATATTTGCAGATCATTATTTCGTGTACCAAATGTCTTGTTAACCAAGTCGGGCCACCAGATTGTAATAAAGACTCCAGCACCTGTGCTGACATTACTGGCAACCAGCCATGCTCGGCCACAGTTTTCCACACCTCACGAAACTGATCAGAAAGTGGTGTTTGTGACACTAGATTTTGTGTGAGCGTTATACTCCGAGATTTGGTATTGCCCGAGGGATGTGCATCTTGTTGCATTTTACGTATTATTTGAAAGGACAAGCCCAGGCGCTCTTTTACATTTTCCTGTGAAGCCATCTCTTCACTGCTGAGTGGTGTTAAAAATTGTTGTATCATATTTAATGGTTTGAGCAGCTCATTCTCACGAACTGAATACATATAAGCGCATAAAAATGAAGTAGCGCACACGGAGAAGGAGAACATTCTACGTTTGATATTCTCTAATATACTTTTCACATCGGTCGATGTAAGTATGTCCTTTTCCCATGCAATAAGCACATGATTGAGCACTCCAGGCAGATTTAAGCATATATCTTGCCATGTAAGATTACTGAAAGGAAAGCATTTATTATTATAATCTTCACGAGTATATGGAAGTTGCAATTTCTTGTTACCAACCTGTTTTTATGTTGTGCCTCGGGGCTTCGCAAACTCAATAACAATTCGTCCACAATTTGTTCGTCGCACAGTGCGATCATATTACGTGGATTTTTCGGCTTATTACGTTCGGCCATGCATTCACGCACCCACTTCTCGAAGAAGGAGTCACCATGTTCCGATAAAACGACCTGCAAAAGTTAATGGTTTTTAATAAGGTCCTCGATGAATTGAGTCTCATGCGCTCACATCAGATCCATATGTTTGTACTATGAACGTCAGCATCAGAAATGACACATCAAAAAGTGTTGAACGTATAATTGAGGGTTTACCAATTTCACCGGGAACTTGTTTCGAATTTTCATTACACTGTATCAGTCGTGTAACGAATGTTTTTAAACGACCTTCCACTGTTGCCACAGACAATATCAAATCGAAACTGTTACCTGTTAATATAGCAAGGTAATTTAATAGGGAGTTGAGAGAATTTTTTTCACATATTATAAATGTTTACTTACCGACTAAAACTTGGCAGAGCACACCTAATAGCGCTTCCTGAACTTTGTTGTAATCGGTGCTTAGTGTCTTGAGTACACCGGATAGCGGCACTTCTGCGCGTATGATGAAATTGATTATTGACAAAGCTTGGTTGCCCGTTTCACGTTTTTGAAGCATTAATGATGTGCTCTCACTGCAATAAATTAACAAGTGATTAATTATTTAGGTTTATTAATATTGAGAATATTTAAAAATATAATTATTTAATATTACTAAATGTACGTTCAATACTTCTTAAATATACGAATTGAGCTACTTCATATATGGGCCGAGTTGCAAATAACAGATTTATATTGAACTTTTTCCTTTCGTAATTTTGTAAATATTAATTGAAAATATATTTTTTTTTTTTACTTTCAAATCCAAATACCGGCGTCATAAATTAAAAATAAATTTTTGAGCTTAAATATTGGTTTGAAAGTTATTTTTTAATCCCGAATTGCTTTTGATAGTTCATAATCAAAAATTAAAAAAAGAAATGTTTTTGAATTTACATTTCTTCGCGTTTTTGTACTTCGTGTTCTACTATTTTGAACTAAAGTGCGCTCAATTTATATTTTATCTATTTTTAATTTTGATTCGGGATTAGAAATACAATTTTCAAATTTTAAATCGGATTTTGTATTGAAAATAAAAATTTTCCAAAACCTCTGGGATTACAAATTGAATTTTCAATTCAATAATAAATATTACAACATGAAATTTAAATTAAATTGTTTATTCAAAAAAAAAAAAATCGCAACACCTAAATGACTAGCCTTTTCCTGTTATTATAATTTCATATGTTACTTGCCGTTGTGCAGCAAAATGTTTAACATGCACATCAGTGACCAGATGTTGCTTAGTCCAATCGTTCAACAGATACTCTATAATGTTACACGAGCACTTCGTATCCATTAAATCGAGTAGCAAATTATCCTCTAAAAGTTGCTCAAAAGCCTCAACTACCTCAGGGATATGATCGGTGGGCGTTTGCTCGTCATTAGCTGAAAATACAGGAAAAATTAATTACATTTTCTTAAACTTAATTAAAGACATGCTTACAACGTTGAAGTGCATGCAATTGCTTTATGATGTGTGGCACTTTGAAGAATGTGAATGCGCCCCACAATGTGTCACGGCTAACTTCCACTACATTACTCAGTGAAATGAAGCCCGCGCGCACAATTTCGTAAATTAAACGTGTGAGGGAATAGTTTTTTAGGCGTTGTATCATTTGCAACTCGGCGACAAAGTATGATGTGTCATTACATGGATTTAATAATACTTCCACAGCTAAGAGCGGTTGTACGCAATAGCTTATTGACTCCACGCCTTTTGAATGCAAACGTGGCATAGTTAACTTAGTAGCATCTAAATATGCCAGCTGTTGCAGCGATTGTGCTATAGACATATTACGCGACGATAAATGACTACTAACTAGTGTATTCTTTAGGCCGTTGTATTTGTCACGTATTTTACCATACATTTCTACGTCATCATAACAACCGATATAAAATATGCCCATCAAGTATTGATTGGATATAAATTTATCGACAATAATACATGTTTTCTCGAACATAAATGATTGTTCTGCGCTAATTTCCCCGCCAATTTCATAGTTTTTCATGATCATAGCAACTATTTGTATTATCCAATATACTAAAGAAGCAATCGCATTGGGTAATATACCCTCCTCTGGTTTGTTTCTGTTAATAACGCAGAAATATTAGAAAGGTTAAAAGCAACAAAGAGCGATAGTGAAACTTACCTGCACGTTACACCATCCATAACATCTTCCAGGAATTCTAACAACGCTGCGATGCAATAAACGCGATCGAAGTGATCATATTTCGATATTCGCCGTAAAACAGCGGCATGTGAGACCAAATTTGCACAGAGACAGTGTTTTAAATAATTTAATATTAACTAAAAATATAGAAATATGTATGAAAAAATATGTGTATATAAAATAGGTGAGTAGAATTGACTTACCGGGTTGGCATTCGAACCCACTAAAGATTGCTGTAGTATACAATCAGCCAAGTTATAAGCATCACCACTAACTCCGCGCGGGAGCACCTATGTAAATTTTAAGAGTAAAACATTTGAGCTTTAAAAGAAGAACTTCGAAAAATACATAGATTTACAATACAAATTAATGTAAATGCGCACACGAATCAAACTTGTCAATGGACTTGGACAAAGTAAGCTGACGCATTTTTTAACGTCTACAATATGAAAACATATAATTATTTTAGAATTTTTTTGTCAACGGAGCGAGCGAAAGTAAAACTAGTAGTGAAGGATTGAAAAACAGACGAAATATATTTTTTACGAAATTTTGCTTTTTGATTTGCTTTTATTTAATTGAAGCTAACAAAGATACTTAGTCTAATTAAATCGGGGGAAAACTATGAATGTTTTAAATTCAATAAGTCGTGCAATACTACAAAATTTTCTCAAACTAAATAAATTACAATTGGCTACTGTTGCATATCAGTTTAAAGTCGAACGACCAGTTTATTATCCCGACAGACAAAATGAAATGCAGCGATTTAGTGAACAACAGAAGTCACAGTTGGTCGCAGAAACACAAGAGAAGAAGAAACTTCCGAGGGATTATTACTACAAAATACTGGGTGTGAAACGACACGCATCGACGCAGCAAATCAAAGCAGCGTATTATACTTTGGCAAAACGATTTCATCCAGATGCAGGTAGCATATCTGGAAGCCTATAAGAGTCAAAACACTGTTGATATTCTATATCTGAAATTATGAAAATATTTTTTTTTTTTGTGGATTATGTTGACCTTTTCGATTTATAGGTAATTCGCCACCTCACGAGTCCAAACGATTTCAAGAAATTTCAAATGCTTATCATATACTAACGGATGAATCCAAGCGCCTGGAATATGACCAGTTGGGCATGGTAAAGGATGAGCAATCATTTTTGCATAAATTCACTAATTTGGGCAATGGTTTTACTAATCGCAAAGGAGAAGTTGTTCTACCCACTACTCGCGAGGGTAAATTTAAAACATACATCAACATTATGATATAATTTTAAACTTCTCCATAGAAATGATAAAAATGACATCTGGTGAATCTAGGCTGGAGCTTACGTTTTTGGAAGCAGCCCATGGATTAAAGAAAAATATTGACATACGTTTTCTAAAAAAATGCCCAGCGTGCAACGGTAAGTCACCACAGCTTGTCAACCGTAGCAAACCCGACCTGTGCAGAAAATGTCAAGGAATTGGAAAATTAACCAAGAAAACTGCCACATATACCAGTATCCAAGTTTGTGATCAGTGTCATGGCAAAAGATATATTAATCGTAACGAGTGCGATACATGCGAAAACCGTGGCGTTGTGCTAGAGACAGTTCGAATTGTAGCACAAGTACCACCGGGAGTAAAAAATGGTGAATTAGTACCTGTTGATAATCCAAAAACGAAGCAACGCATCCATTACCGCGTACAAGTGCAACCGAGTGACATCTTTCAACGTATAGGCAACAATGTACTTTCAGACAAGTACATTAGTATTTCGGACGCAGTATTAGGTGGAACTTTTAAAGTACGTGGCATATACGAAGAACTAGAAGTTAAACTAGATCCCGGAACTGAAAGCCACACCACAAAAACTTTAAAAGGCAAAGGTATTAGATCTCGTGATGGTACTGGTGATCACATCATCAACTTTAAAATACGTATTCCTCGGCAATTAAGTATGAAACAGCGTCAACTAATAATGGCCTTAGCCAAGACGGAGGATCACACATTTGAACGACCTATTTAGTGCCGCATATATGAAGTAATTGAATATGCAAAGCCGAATCTGCCAAATACTATAAGTTAGGTTTTTAGTTAAAATTTTTGGAGATCCGAAAATTTAAAGTCCTTTTAAGAACAAATATTTCAATTGTTTCTTTGAAAAATCTGTAATTAAACCCAAATATTTTGAATTGAAACTTGACTTCTTTTATTTAACTTTTCTTTAAATAATTACATTGCTCTCCACTTACTCGCTTAATATTGGTACCCCAAAGCGCAACATTCCAACGTTCACGCCAAGCACGTAAAATCATCAATTTCAACAAACTGGTTTTACTTGGTTTTTGTAGTTCCATTGTATTATCTTTCATTTTAAAGATATTGGAAACAATATACAAATTATATTAACTTAGATCACAAAAAACATTCTCTCAACACAAAAACTAAACAATAACTAAACGGCGATGTGCCAAATTGTTATTCATGTATCGAATACTGCATGTTATCGAAATTGATTGTTCAGTCTCGTGAATTTACATGCGTGCTAATTTACATGCCATCCGACATGCTATGCAATACGAGCACCATTCAACTACCAGATATAAAGTGTGACAGAAACATCATTTTCAAAGTATTACCTGAAATTTATATATATTTTTTAATATTATTATATTTAGGGAGAGTAAGAACATTATTTATGAGTGATTACTATCTCAATATAATCATAATAAAACGAATTGAATCAAAAGTTATTTTTATGTATTTCCTTAGTTTCTGAACGTCTTTCAGAATATGTTAACTCAATAATTTTAATAAGATGAACATGGAAATTTCATACTCATGACTGGTAGTAGATATCTGTAAATTTATCGTAAAAACTTTTACCGGCAATAAACTTTTGTTATGGTGATGCTTGTCAATCATCTACAAAATAGAGTACTATCGCAAATTTATCGACACAAATCAAAGCATATGGACATCAAGAAGGCAAACAACAAGAATAGACGTACAGATGACAAAGATCATCAAAACAACTTCGACCACTGAAAATTAAACAAGTAGATCTTTAACTTATTATTATTATTAAGAAATATCAAAGTTTTAGTTGGTTTCTCTACAAAGAGTGCGAAAACTGTGAACTGAACATTATTTAAAAGGCAGGAAAATCAAGAAAGTAAGTATATACATACATATTATTGGTCATTTTGTTTTCTTGATTAAATTTTATCAGCCAGCAAGCTTTTCTCTACATAGATTTGTTTGGTCATTTTTGTCTTTTTGTTTTGATTAAATAAAAATATAACTGGTACTCATGATATATTCAAAAATAGGGAGTATATACACATTAAATTTGGAGAATAATCATACGATTTTAGCACAGAATTAAGTAATTTTTTGTCATTGCGTTTTAATAAATTATTCAATACATATGTATATGTCATACATACATATTTATAAAAATATGTGTATAATCGAATAAAGGAAAATCTTCGTAAATATTAAACGCCAGCTAAAGTAAATTCAAAGCCGTATAGCTGTATTATAAAATGTTGGTAAAAATAAATATCTTTTAGAAAAGAAAAAATCATTAGCTATAAACTAAATACATTCATGCACAATCATAAGATATTTTGAACAATATATACATATGTACATGTTATACAAAAACAAAATGATATAAAGTTTTGATAACATATGGTGAACTTTACGCAGTCCAAAATTAACCATATCAGAATAAAAACCCTCACATAATTTATGCATCTGTGAGTTAATATGATTTTATCACAAAACCCTTTTAAAAGGTGTATGTGTATATGCCGTGAAACTATGTGTCTTCGGTGTCTGAAGGTGTCTGCGATGAAGGGTTCACATTTTTCAACCTGTAACCTAGTGACTTTGTATTTTATGAGACATATTCAGATCTTCGTCGTCTTTTTATGTTAGAGAAACTCTGCTCTAAAAGAAACATAAATAACCATATATTGTATACCATATTTCTATTCGAAAAATTATTAAACCGTTATTAACATGTTCATAATTTTCATATTAAATTAGGTTTCCAGAGCAATCACCATATATTATTTATTTAATACCAGTAAGTTTAAATACTGAAAATCTTTATAAACAAATATTATATTCCTAAATTTTAATAAAATTTCAGTTCATCATAGACTAGAATAAGTTGAAATCTTTTTGAACTCGAACAAAAGCATTGTTTTGTTGTGACATATAGTACTTTGGATAATGATGAATTTATTGGGACGCCCGGACATTGAAGCTGGCGAAGTTTTTGTTAATTTCAATCAAAATGATACGTAAGTTAAATTTATTTTAATTTTTGTCTAATAAAAATAAAAAAACTAAATGTTTAATATACTCTTTAGATCATTGGCAGTTGCAACACGATCGGGTTATAGTTTATACAGTCTGAGTTCAGTAGATCTAACATTGGATAAAATATACAGTTGCCATACGGATGAGATATTCCTTATTGAACGCCTTTTTGAAAGTTCTTTGGTCGCGGTTGTATCTCAGCGGTCTCCACGAAAGCTTAAAGTAAGAAAACAATGGTGTTTTTGTTATATTGCAGATGTTTTAATTTTTGTTAATATTATTATAAGGTATGTCATTTTAAAAAACAGAGTGAAATTTGTAATTATTCATACTCGAATACCATATTGGCTGTTAAACTAAATCGGGAACGTCTAATTGTATGCCTGGAAGAAAGTTTATATATTCACAATATCCAGGATATGAAAGTAGTCCATACGATACGTGATACTCCATGCAATCCAAATGGTCTCTGCGCACTTTCTTCCTCATCAGAGCACTGTTATTTGGCCTATCCGGGAAGCGTCACCTCAGGGGAAGTTCAAATTTTTGACGCAATAAATTTACATGCCAAGACCATGATACCTGCTCACGATTCACCATTGGCTGCATTGGCATTTAGCCCGTCTGGAACTGAAATCGCTACAGCTAGTGAGCGTGGTACCGTAATACGCGTTTTTTCATCTCTTGATGGCAGCAAGCTGTTCGAAATGCGTCGTGGTCTCAAGCGTTGCGTGGCGATTGCATCGCTCTCATTTAGTACATGCGCAAAATATTTAGTGTCGAGTTCAAACACGGAAACAGTACATATATTTCGTTTGGATCGGTCAGCTGCCGAGCAGGCTGACTCAAAGCAAACATCGGATGATTGGATGGGGTTCGTTAAACATATATTTGATATTATTATATTTTTCTTGTTTTAAATGTTACTATTTTGCATTGTACCTTTTGCATTTTTTTACCTTTCTGTCGTTCTTTTATTTCTAAAACATTTTCACTCATATATTTTATACGTTTCTTTTTCTTCCTTGAAAATCGCACACCCGCTCTCAACATCCAACATCTATACCTGTTTTCAACACCAACCAAACAACTCTAAACTATCAACCATTACATAACACCCTAATTCGACACCCTCGCCACCTTTCATATTTTGTCATCATTGTCCAACCGTTTGTCGTCGCTCTACCCCACGTCAACTCTCTCATGCTGTTAGTTACTCCTTTTTTAGATATCTCAGCAAAACCGTGACCAGCTATCTGCCCACTCAAGTAACGGATGTATTCAGTCAGGGTCGAGCATTTACATCAGTGACATTACCGGAGGCTGGTGTTCGGCGTATGTGTGCAATCACAACAATACAAAAACAACTAAGGTGAGTTTACTTAAGTATGGATAAAGTTAATTCGTGCAAAATCAGCTTTGTTTTTGTGAACACCGATTGAGGGGAAATCGCTTTAAACTTTTGAACAGTCCAAAAATCTGGTATACCATATACAAAATAGGTTTAAAAAACGTAACTTCGTAAATTTTGCTCGAAAGCACTAAACAATTTTGACACACCATATCTTGAAATATGTATTATGCGTTCAATTAATGATGAATTTAGTATCTTATCATAGAGGTAAATTTGACTTGGTAAATTCAACCAGATCAGGTATGCAATATTTGTAGTTGAATGTTAATATATTACCTACCAAGGTCAAATAAACTGAACAAAACTATTTTCTTAGAATCACAGCATATATGTATCTGTATCTCCAGCGGTGAGGGTATATGTACCTAGTTATACATAAAAAGACCAAAATAGGTACTCGCAAGGTATTATATATGCTTTCTATTGATCGATTGTTTTTAAGCTGTAGACAGTGTAGGAGAACATTTCAGCTTCAGTTTTGTATACATATACATACATATTTACATACATTAATGCATTGTATTTACCTTTGCGTGGTTGATAACATATCCATGGTTAAGAAGAATATTTTGGTAATACTTTCACAACATATTACAATATGTCCATAGATGCTATTTAAAACAAAATCGAAAAAAAATTTTCCACTCAGATATTTAGAGTAACAAATTGAAAAGAGAGTGACCAATTATCGCATGGTTGAGCTTTTAATGATTTATAGTAGTAAAGGAAAGAATAATTATAATTTTTTGGTATTATTAACAAAAACTAAAATGGTTTTAAGTTTATAATATTCTATTCCGGTTATATATTTATATGTATTTAATTCTTGGCTTTTGTTCTTTTCAGACTTTTGGTGGCTTCACAAGACGGTTACTTATATGTCTACTCCATACCCTCTATTGAGGGCGGTGAATGTCAGCTTATTAAGAAGCATGATATACGCCTAGACGATTTTTATGCAATGGACATTAAAGGCAGGATTTATTACTAAATTTTCATCCACACATACCAAAATTCCATTGCTCGCCGTCATAATCGATAACATAATCTTAAACACCATACCATATAATTAGCATAAAATATGAATAATGAATTCATTTACATACATATATTAGTATTATAGTGGTACTCATGAAAACTCACAAACATTTAACAACGCAATTCAGTTTTACTCATTTTCTTAAAAATTTTGAGAACGTAATCAAAACAATTATGTGATGTTCTGTTAAAACAGCAGAAATGCTTAATCGGAAAAATTAAACATTTAATTACAATGGCCTTAGCTTTAAGCAATAGATCTCATTAAACTTTCAACGATGATCTTGTGACTCCATAATGCTTTGCTGTTGCTGGGGCAACAATTCTTGTCCATTTTGGCTTAGCAGACCCTTCTATCGTAGTAACGAATAAGTTGTTATTCATTCTTTTTTGGTTAATTTTTAATATTGTTTTCATTTTATTTTATTTTTGTATTTTCCTTTATTTTGATATATTTTTTTATTTTTACCACTTTCTTTTATTTTTACTACTTTTTTATATTTTTACTACTCTTTTATTTTGATTCGTAAACTTGTACCAATGACAACAGTACATTGCTTTGGTATAAAAAATGAGTAACGCTGATATGGCTGAGTTTTGCTGAGAACCCACTGTTATTATTTTAAACTAGGTAAATTTTTTGTTACAGTTGATTCGCCACAACCGCTGGGAGGTGCAGGTGCTGGCACAGCTGTTACTGAAGTTATAAGTGAAGATGAGTCATCTAAACAGAGTACAGCCAGTGGAGCCACTTATGCTTCTGCAGTGAAAGGCGATGAAAAGGCCGCACAGCCTTAGATGTGTCACACTTTTAAAGATTCGCTATTACCACCACAAACTTCACAAACTACCTAAGTCTGCGAATGAAGTTTCCTGCGAAGGGAATATCCATGAATATCGATTGATTATATTTCTGTGACAATGTGATGCAGTTTTTATTTTATATAAACCTAGGGTTAGCGCTCACAATTTTATCTGTAATTTACATTTTCCAAAATTTAATTTTCATTTAAAGAACGACTCATTGTTCTAAACAAATTTAGCAATGCTCGATCGTAAAATAGAGTATATCTTTTGTTTATAGATTTGAATATTGAGATTAAGAATTAAACTAAAAAATGTCTACATATATAATAAAAAAAGATTTGGTACATAAAAGCTTATACCCTCCTCTCCCAATATCATTTTTTATTATCTCAAATGTTCACCTGTGTATTACTTTAATTTTGTCAATTTACAGTAATAAATATTTGTGTTTGCATTTGCTAATATATATATATAAAAAAAAACTTGAACCTATTGGTAAAAATAAAATAAAAATGTTAGTTATAAGAACTTTTGTTTTAATTTACTTTAATAAAAAAGAAAACATTCAAATAAAAAAAAATATATAAACGAATTTTATATTAGCATAGTGTATGCATTAATGTAGAGCTAATTAGTGTATATATCATAATTACGACGAATTAAAGTTCAATATTTTGATTCTTCTCTGAAATTTTATTCGATCTTTTGTAGTTATCGTCGTTATTTATGAAAAATAGGTAGTTATTGCATGATTAATAAACAGTTTTTACACACACCTGGTCAGGACAAGGAAACAATAGACACGATCGAAAAAATGTCTACTTAAGATCTTATGAGAAACATGTAGTTATGTTTTGTATATGTTGTGAAATCTTTATTTAAATGTTGTTTATTTGCTTTACAAATACTTATCTATAAGTTACGTCACCAAATTAGAAACAAATCCAGCGATCTATGCATATATTTGAATGTGTCAGGTATGACTAATTTCTATTGAAAATGGTAGACGCTTAAAATGCATTTTCGCGGATCACCAGTAAAGTAATGAATATATTTTAGAACATATTAGAAGAATTTGGATTTTGAATTTTTGCTGCCAGGTTTTCAAATAATTAAAACTAGGTTCAGAATTAATTTTTCTTTAAGATTCCAATATTCTTCATATTGAATGTTATTTTGTTAGTACATGAAAATTACTTCAGATATGCATTTTTACCGACATAGAGTGGCGTCTATTTTTTCGAGCCATGGCAAAATGGAACGCAACTTGAAGCGATACATCTTATCTGTGGCTATGGGATTGTGTTCCAAGTAAATAGTTTTAAGCTTTGTATTTTCTTTTAGATTTTCAATATTTTTCCAGTCGGAAACATTGTTATCATTTAGCCATAATTCCTCTAATTCTTTCAAGTCGGCAACGTTGTCTATCGATTTCAATCTATTTTTGGCCAAGTCTAAAGTTTCCAATATGGTATTTGAATTTAAATTTTCAATTATTTCTATACCATTTTCCGATAAATAAAGTTCAGTCAAATTAACCAACTTATCCAAATTCTCGATTTTAACAATACGATTCGCTTGTAAACTTAAACATTCCAGATTGACCAATGTGTCCAAATTTTCAATTTTAGTTATCTTATTCTTGCCAAGGTATAGTTGCCGTAGATTTACCAGCATTTCAATATTTTGTATTTTACGAATTTTGTTATCACCCAATTCCAACATAGTCAAATTAGTTAACATGCCTAAGTTTTCAATAACTTGTATCTTGTTAGCACATAAGAAAATCTTTTCCAAATTAACTAATTTATCTACATTTTCTATTTTGGTTAAACGGTTGAAGCTCAAGTCTAACTGTTCTAGATTTACTAATGTATCTAGATTCTCAATTTTAGTGATTTGGTTATCGTAGAGTTCTAGTTCCTGGAGCGTTGTCAATGTGTCGAGGTTTTCAATTTTCTTTATAAGATTCCAGCGTAGGTAAAGACGTTCAATGCATTTCAGTGGTTCAAAATTCTCTAACTTTTCAATACGATGATGGTTCAGATCTAATTCTAAACATTCTGGATCAATTAGTACAACATCTTCAATGGAAGGAAGTGGCTCTTCAATAATTTCTGTTTCCACAGGCGGTCCAATAGATGGGGTCTTTGATATTGTGTCAATAGAGGTGTCAGATTTCGTGATATCTGACAATGCTCCATTTTCTGCTGAGTTTCCATCCGCCATAGCTTAATACCTAAAGCGAAAACTATTAAATACTTATAGCCAAACTTATTAATTGAAATTATCACCTTGTTTAAAGTCAGTAATACCGCAAATATGAGTAAAAACTAATGCGAAATCATATAGCTACAAGGGGAGTGTTGCCATAGCATGCAATTACGGTCAAATTAGGTTTTTTTTTATATATTTATAATGAAACGGGACTCTTTATTAGTTAGAAATTCTTAATACGTATTAAAATTAATATCATATCATTGAATCAAGTAGCAAAGCTTTGAGATACAAATGAACGAAAAATTTCGGAAAACATTTTTTATGTTATGTTAAGAAAGTTGGATGAAATGTTGAGTTGTCTATTGATACCTAAATATTTTTTAAGTTTCTTTTATTATGACATTTATAAAAGTTCTGTCTACATGTGTATTCGTTTAATTTGTTCAATATTTTTATCTTCTGAAATTGTTTTCTTGAGCATATTTTACATTTAATTCTCATAATGAGGAATTAACATAAATGAGGTGTAAAAACCAGTTAATAGAATAAACCGCGGTTGTGAATAACACCTAATTGGATGTATTTTGTGGGAGTCAGTGTTCAGGCAACTTATACAAAAATAGATGCCTGAAAAATCGATGTAGCTGGAATTTAAGGAGCTTTAATCTTTAGAAGGATCATACTGAGCGTTTCGATATATTTTAGTAACATTTGACTAATATCACGAAACGCTTCTATGAAGCAAGACATTGGTTTGAGTATTTCATATTCGGCACAGCCATTAGTAAACTATTGTGCATCAGAAAAATCGAAAATATCGCGTAAGTATATTAAATAAACATATATGTATATATATTTAAATTTATACATTTGTGTGAATTTTTCTCATTCTGTTGCCTTGATATTAACTTTAAACGAAAGATCCCATGAATACTTTCGAGATAAACGCATTTCTTGCTGGAAACCACTGTCTGGTGGGATATTTAATATATTATAACATAAAAAAAAATTTTTAAACTTTCGCAGATCATGTCATCTTGAAAAATGAAGAAGTTTGTTTTTTAGGTGTAGCAGGATTTGTTAAATTTTTGAAGTCCTAAATAAGGTTTAAATTTAAGAATTTGTAGATTGAGTCATATGTGCATAAGAGCTTAAAATATTTTTATTATTATATATATTATTACAATTTTAGTTATTTTTAATCAAATTAATTTTTTAATATTTACAAAGAAATTTATTTGAAAATGACTATTCTGATAGTAAATTTGAATTACCATTTAAACCCCAAATGATATAAACACATACATATGTATATATATAGGCATGCACATAAACATAACTCATAGTAATTCATAAAAACTATAAAAATATGAATTAATATGTCACCTACTTTTAGCTGCGTCATTTTGAATACAAATTAGCTATGTTTCTTTAATCAGTACTTGAAGATTGTTGTCAAAATCTAACACGCGCATTCTGAGTGATAATGTTCTTTTAGTTGAAGTTATTATATTTAAATAGTTATACTAAAACGGTGGTACCTTTTTTATTCAGCTATTTGCTTGTTTTAATATTTACTCTCAACAAACATACATACATAAGTGTGTGGACTGCATTTGTACTATCCTTATTAGATTTACTGCTATCACATAAAGCATTCCAGGTATCAACAAAATTTATTCTTAATTGTTTGTGTGCATAGGTATATATATATACGTAGCTAAAGTCGAACAGTCATCCACACACTCGGTTATTAATAGCCTTTTATATTAAAATAATTTGAGATTTATAAAAATATAAATATTGAATAAAAGTCAGAAGAGTTCGGCTTTGTCATTAATGCCAAAGCTTGTCAGGAAGCATTTGTTATACATTTTTTTTTATTTATTAATTTTTTCTTTGATATTTTCGAAATATGTACTCGTATATACATATATGTATACATATGTATATTTATTCGCAAATATATAAAATACTTTCTTTTAAAATAAATTGTTGAACAGCTTAATAGGAGTTTGTAGTGACAGGAAAAATAAATGTACATATATATCTTTCACTTACATATTTACTTATTACTTTAACTTTTAATGCACTTAAAACGCAGTAAGAACAGCTCATAATTACATTATATTCATATAAACGTATATAAATTATCTACCTTTGCGGGATCTTAAGTGGCTTACATAATTTACGATACAACTATATAACTTGATCTCGCTTAATCTTTCTTAAATCTCTAAATTTTTTCTTTGAAAATCCCATGTTGTATGAAATACACTTTTTACATGGTTAACTCGGACAGTAAACGTGCAAAAGAAAGATCAAGTTTATTTAATTGGTACTTAATCAAAAAGCAAAGTTCTATCTCTTGTTTCATCTAAATTCCTTATCTGATGTTAGGATGTAGTGTACCTACTTTAAAGCGTTATGAACAGTATTTACTACTAGTAGTTGAACCAAACGATGGTGGATGACTTACTTATCCACCTCTTCTATTAAAAATATACAAAGCTGCATCTAATCGTCTAATGAGTTTAAAAATTAGTAAAAAGTATTTATACTTGATTAATGTAGTAATAATTGTGGTTAATTTTTTTGCTTTGACTTTTGAACTTGAACATTGATTGCACTTTTTCCACTAGGGCGCTTCTTGATCTTAAATGAAATATATGTAAGTAAGCAGTTAATACTACAATTTTTTTTTACATTTTCATATGTTGTTCTGTACTTTGTATGCGTTTGTAGTGGTGCATTATCAGCGTAAGCACAATGTGATTACAGCTCTAATTGATATTTCTCACTTTTTGTAATTTTCTATAACGCCTGTCTCTCTTCAATGAGATATTTTTACTGTTGTACGGTATGCAATGCACTTCTTTATTGAGGCTTTTTTCCAAACGCAAGTCTTGAATATTGCCGTGAGTTTGAACATCTTTGTACTTATTATCCACTTTTTTTGATATAAAACTTAACACGTATACATACATACATATTTTTTTTATTCATTTGCTCCTGTACAAAATAGCCATTTCTGAAGTGGAGTAAATTATCGTTTTTAGGTAAACCAGTCTGAATGTCATTGGAAGGTTTACTAGAATAGCTTTTTGCAGCTTTAAAGCCCTCAATGAGGTGAACATTGAATTCAATTATTTTGTAGCTCTCTTGGATTATTTATTTAAAATATATTTTATTAATTCTTATAATTTTATTTCCAATTTATGCAGTAGATATTCAAAGGGCCCTCGATTCCAAGATATAAAACATAATTGACATTCATCAACAGGAACAAAAGTTCCTATAATGTCAGAGGGCGGTGTATTACACATAAAACAGGAGTTGGAAATCAGCACATCATGCTGCAGTCCGAGCACTTCTACCACAGTGGGCGTCAATCGCTCGAATTCCTATTCAAATGGCACCAGCGGTAGTACAAGCAGTACTAGTAGTGGTAGTGCGATCAGTGGTGGTGGCACAGGTGGCAATACATCAACCAGCGGCAACAAATCTTCACCTTCAGTGTCTCCAGAACGCCAATTGTGTAGTTCAACAACAACGCTATCCGCTGATTTGCATAGTGTCACCCTGACGGGATGTGAAGCAAGTACACCAATTGCCTTAAAATCAAATGATTGTGGTGGTAACAATACTAATAGCAACAACAGTGCTGGATCAGCTAGTGGTGGCTCAATACGCGATGAATTACGACGTCTTTGTTTGGTGTGCGGTGATGTTGCCTCTGGATTTCATTACGGTGTGGCTAGCTGTGAGGCTTGTAAAGCATTTTTTAAGCGCACCATACAAGGAAATATTGAGTACACGTGCCCTGCTAATAATGAATGCGAAATTAATAAGCGCCGACGAAAAGCCTGTCAGGCCTGCCGATTTCAAAAATGTTTGCTGATGGGTATGCTAAAGGTAAGTTCAAATACGTGTGCTATTCCCTCAAGAAATTTTTATATCCTGATCACGGTATATTAAGTTTGCCACAAAGCACGTTTTAATTCCAGTTACGGTGCAAGCGAAATTAACTTTATTTTTTCTTGTTTTAATTTTATTTTACTATGGAATATATATAATTTTATTTATCTTCTAATAAGACTTTTTGAAGGACCGATAATTATATAGAACGCGAGATATTTAAATATTACTACCATACTCCAAGGTCTAGAAAAAGTGTAAAAAAAAGCTACGGGTTCAATATGAAACTTTTAATTGTCTCTCATGCAATGTTATTTATTTATGGTATTTCCTAATTTTTGATTGAAAATTTTAGCTTTAAAACACGTACCCAATAGATAAAGATTCATTATTAATATATTTTAGGAGGGCGTGCGTTTGGATCGTGTGCGTGGAGGTCGCCAAAAATACCGACGGAATCCTATTTCGAATTCATACCAAACCATGCAACTGCTTTATCAATCCAACAGTACCTCACTGGAAGATATCAAAATTCTTGAGATACTAAACGCGTATGAGCCAGACACATTAACAGTGCAACAGCAGCAACAACCACATACCACTACCGAAAGTAGTAATAACACAGGCACCGGCAAAGCCACTCAGAATACTTCTGTTAAGTTAGAACAAAATAATTGTAGCAGTGGCGGTAGCAATAGCAACAACAGCGAAATATTCTCTTCCAGTGCGCAACCAGTATGCATTTTTCAAAATAACAATTGTGATGCCGAAGAAATTCTTGCTGTTCTCAGTGATATATATGATAAGGAATTGGTAAGTGTGATTGGCTGGGCCAAACAGTTACCGGGCTTCACCGAGCTGCCGCTGAATGACCAAATGAAATTGCTGCAAGTTTCGTGGGCGGAAATTTTAACATTACAGTTAAGTTTTCGTTCGCTGCCATTTAATGGACGTCTGTGCTTTGCAGCAGACGTATGGATGGACGAATTGTTAGCTAAGGAATGTGGGTATGCTGAATTCTATTATCATTGCGTACAAATTGCTCAACGTTTGGAACGTTTATCACCACGACGCGAAGAATATTATCTGCTTAAAGCATTAATTCTGTCTAATTGTGATATTTTGCTGGATGACCAAAGTTCATTACGAGCATTTCGCGAAACAATACTTAATTCCTTAAATGATGTCGTATGCTTATTACGTTATGGGTCTGCGGTGTCACACCAGCAACAGCTGCTTCTCCTGTTGCCAGCATTGCGGCAAGCAGACGGTATTTTACGTCGATTTTGGCGAAATATTTGTCATGATGGTAAAATTACAGTAAAAAAATTGTTTGTAGAAATGCTGGAACCAGTGTCCAGGTGAAAATGCTTTTGTACAAGATGCAAGTTATGAATGTTTTTGTATATAAATATTTTCCCAGAAAAAACACTCAAAAATTATGGATAAGGAAACTCAATTTAGGGGTAGGAAGTTAACGGTTCACTTGTTCTCCGTTATTGGCGGTGTAGTGGGTTTCTGTGGGATTAGTTCAAGGGTTAAAGTATCGAATTTATTTCTTACAATAAATACACAAACAAATTACTTTGCAAAAAATTGGATTTTTTGTTACGCAATCAACCATGCGAAATATAATTCAGTTCACTAGGAAGAAAGTGGAAATTGGCTTCACAGGGCTAAAGTAACTATGCTAGAGTCTAATTAAACCAATGTACAATAACATTTAGAGAGGAGGAGAGGGCTAAAGCAACTATGTACAATAACTTTTAGAGAAAAGTAAAGTTTTGGAATTGAATTGTAACGTGTCATATAGTAGGTTATTCTTAAAAAAAATTGCTTTTTTTTCAAAAATATCGTATATGTTATGACAATATAGAAAATCTTGATTTTCGGAAAGTTGGAAAATTTTGATTTTTAGCTGTATTAACCACATATGCATAATATCGTGTGATTATATATACTATACTTACTTTTCATAAGTTCGTTAATGAAAATGTTTTTAAATGATACTCAACTGAAAACCTTGGAAAAGGAATTGTAAAATTATGTAATTATGAAATGGAAAGTTTTATTCGCGTTTCGATACGGCAAATGGTATAATGATATAATATATTGCACAATAAATCAAAATACCGGTAATGGTATACCTTACGAAATACCTCCTTTATAACAGTCATATAGAAAAAAATCTAATAAAACCAAAATACATATATTTGTATAGTACAACCCTTATACATTTGTATGTGAGTGAATTTAATATGCATACTTATATGAATAACAAATACTTCGTAGATGAATTTTTGTAAATAATATATACATTAGCTAGTCATTAAGGGCCAAGTAGCTTTTAAGTGGTAGTAATAAAGTGTTAGATAATATTTAATGTGTATCACAGTAATTTTAGAAAATATATACATACATACATACTTATACTTGACATATTAACGACTAACTGTTTGCATATTTCTGAAAATAAAATACATAGTGATTGAGCTGCTTTCTTTTGATTCTTACTACGTGTAAGTAACTAAATTATTCGGTTATTGATAAATTTGTGATTTCTAAGTAGGAGTAAAAACATATATTTTTCCAAAAATAGAATAATTTCATATATTTCAATCCGTTCCGCATGACCAATGAAATTTTGTGTACACTTCGCTTCAGAAACATTCGATTACCAGATACCAGCACTATTTAATTATGGTGTGGTCAAAATTACCAACATTTTGTTTATTTGCAAAGGCAGAATAATCTCCATAAAATCTGTCTCGCAAAATTTATTAAATGTTTATGTATTATTGCTTTATAAAATTTATCAATTTTCTAAAATCTAAGGTAAAAAAATTAATATACAAGCAAACTGATACAAACCAAACCGTATTTATCTTTTGCATTGGACTAGTGAAAAATAACTGCCTTCTCTTAGCTTAGCTTATGACATGAGAATCTCAAAGGATGTGTTATAAACAATTAAGTGTCTAAACACAAATGAAGTCTAACTTCTATTTACAGAAAAGATAACTTAAATTACAATGTTCTTTATTTAAATAAGAAACGCTCTATTTTTTCAGACCCTGTTTTCAAAATAATTATTTACAATATTTCTAAGCGGTCTAAAAAACCAACACTTAAATTTCGAACTTATATCCCTTTTAAACAGAGCAATATTAAGTTTTGTCCGGTAAAAAATTCTTTCTACTATGTTGGCTCCGTTCTAAATCTGGAGAATCGAAATATTTTTTAGAGTCTTTTTGAAAACGATCAGATCTTTCAAGTTCACGCCGGAAATAGCTAATCGTGCGCGATATTCCCATTTGTAGTGGAACTTTTGGTTCCCAATTGAGAATGGTTTTTGCTCGCGTTATATCCGGCTTACGCCTCTGCGGATCATCTTCGACTGCATCTGTTTGTTTTACTTCGCTTTTGCCACCCACCAATTTTTTTATTATCCATGCGAATTCTTCGATTGTGTGTTCTACAGGGTTGCCCAAATTGACTGGCTGGCTGTAGTTGGAAGCCATTAAAGAAATTAATCCGTCGACAAGATCAGAAACATACTGAAAGGAACGAGTTTGCTTGCCATTACCATAAACAGTTATAGTTTCGTTACGCAGTGCTTGAAGTATGAAATTGGACACAACACGTCCATCGTTCATATGCATTCGAGGCCCGTACGTATTAAATATGCGTGCGACGCGTACTTTCACATTTTCCTGTTAGACGATAATTATACTATTTAAAACTTGAGTAAAGCAAATTTGTGTAATTTTCACCTGTTTCGCATAAGCATAGCTGAGTGTTTCTGAAACACGTTTGCCTTCATCATAACAGGCTCGAGGTCCAATAGGATTCACATGACCCCAATATGTTTCAGGTTGTGGATGTACAGTTGGATCACCTATAATAGTGTGCATATTTTTTAACATTCTTGTTTTCAACTGTCTAAATAGAATTTTAATTTATTATAAAACAATTTTAGCTTACCGTATACTTCTGAAGTACTAGCTATGAGTACTTTTGCCATTACACGCTTAGCTAGTCCTAGCATATTGATGGTACCCATGGTATTCGTTTTTATTGTCTTCACGGGATTATACATATAATGTGGAGGTGAGGCTGGTGATGCGAGATGATAAATTTCATCCACTTCAATAAAAAGTGGATTCACGATATCATGGTGAATTAATTCGAAATTCTCATGTCCAAGCCAGTGTTCTACATTCCGTTTACGACCTGTGAAAAAGTTATCTGCAACGATGACTTCATGACCTTGAACCATGAGAGTATCTACTAGATGAGATCCAACGAAACCGGCTCCTCCGGTAATTAGAATCCGTTTTCGATTTTTATAATTTAAGTATTTAACTTGTGGATATTTTCTTGGCGTACTTGCTTCTAAAGCACGAACTCGATCTTCTAATATTGAAATTTGAACTTTTGCCTGTTCCAATTGATTTAGAAGCTGCTGATTTGTAATGTGTTGAGGAACATTGGTGAAATCCTTTACGAGATCTTCACCAATTTGTGAGTTCGCTGTCCAATCGTCTTTATCAAAATTTTGAATTGACTGACTACCATTAGTTTTATGTTTCAAAAATGAACGATAAAGTATTATTAGTAATATCAGAGAGCAAGAAGAAATAACGATGAACTTAATTCTTTTTTTTACAATAGGCACGTTAGGCATATTCAGGCGTTCAAACTTTTATTCTGTTAGCAATTTATTATTAAGAATTTTATACTTATTTTTATTAAAGCGAAATCCACGAAATATTTTGTGTAGTACTTGTTTACATCAGCCAGTTTTCAATAGGAAAGCAAAGGGGTATTTTCGGTGGCTGGCTAAATGCATATAAATTGTTGTTATTAATGTTGTTTCTTATTTTCATATGCATATGTATGCATATATACTTACTCATTTGCTGTTTCTTATTTGCTACTTTACAAGTGCATCAAAAATTATTGCAAATAGATAAAAGACAATATAAAACTAAAATGTTTACATCTAAATGTTATTACAATTTTTAAGAACTTTGTTATCTACAAAAACTCGTTTAATACTTTTCACAGCTGATTTTGACATTTTAGTAAATAAATGATAACAGTCCTCTTGCCATGGTAATGCCACAGAATTTACACTTAAAAATATAAAGAGATGACTGTGAATATACATTTATAAAGACCTTTATTCACAGTTGCCAACCCATTTCTGTTATAAATTCAATATTTCTTGAAATAAAATAAAATAATTAGATAAATGTGAAAAATTAATAGAAGTTATATAACATTAACATTTGGAATCTAACATATATTTTTAAATTAAGGGCAGTGTAAAAATGAATTTTAACCAAATTAAAACAAAACCTCATTTCTGCAATTCGCTACTGTGAATAAATATTGGCCCGGTGGTAGAAGAAAAGTCGAGTTTTGACAAAAGATTTTTGATGTGAGTCATTCTTGTAGTTAGGTTACACACGGAAAAGGTGGAATCAAGGAATAGTATACCATTGACAGGATTTGCTTAAATTACATTTAGTGTGAAAGCAAAAGTTTTAAGAATGCCGAATAACGACAAGGAGCCACAAAATATACAGAATAATAATGAGAGTAATACTTTAGAAAGCACGCAGGCAGTAGCCGCTGCCACTGAAGCATTGATTGCGGCCGCTGTAGCCGGCAGTAAATCGGGCCACACTGCCAATAATAAGGAATCTGGGTCCAATGATGCCGAAAAGCAACACACAGATGCAAAATCCACTTCGGCAGGTAAGAATATTTATCTGATAAATAAAATATTTATTTCTTAAACGTGCAAAAGCTTTGTCAAAAGGTGAGGTGTTTAAGAATATTTACACAAATGTGTACTCGGTGTCGAAAATGCCATTTTGCAACTATATTTGTATGTGCATGTAAATTTATTAAATAATTGGAACTATAATTTTAGGTTTACTCGGAAATCAAGGTTTGCTAAAGGTACTTTCCGAAGTTGCAGCTGCCGGCCGACAGTCGAAACAATTCGCCTTTTGGTCTACACAACCAGTACCCAAACTAAATGAAGATATTACCACAAATGAATGTATTGAACCTGATAAAGATATCTCGGAAATTCGTCCGGACCCATATACTTTGCCAGAAGGATTTAAATGGGATACTCTTGATTTGAACAGTACCACCGATTTAACTGAATTATACACCCTGCTGAATGAAAATTATGTAGAGGATGATGATGCAATGTTTCGTTTTGATTATCAACCAGAATTTCTGAAATGGTCATTGCAACCGCCCGGTTGGAGACGAGATTGGCATGTTGGTGTACGTGTGGTAAAGTCGGGACGTTTGGTTGGCTTTATATCTGCCATTCCAAGCAAGCTGCGTTGTTATGACAAAGTGCTTAAAACTGTTGAGATAAATTTTCTATGCGTTCATAAGAAATTGCGTAGTAAACGTGTTGCGCCGGTGCTTATACGTGAGATTACTCGCCGTGTAAACTTGACAGGAATTTTCCAAGCTGCTTACACCGCGGGAGTTGTACTGCCTAAACCAGTCTCTACATGCCGGTATTGGCATCGTTCATTAAATCCCAAAAAACTTGTTGAGGTAATTAAAAATCGGTGTGAAATTGTTCAGTTTTAAAAGTTATTGTGCATCTCTATTGATTTTGTAAACCCTTATATTTATTATAAATCAATATTAAACTTAATATTTCTAAAACATTTGTATATGATTTAAACAGGTATAATTGATCTAAATAACATACATTATAAAATATATATTTTTTAAATTTTTTACAGGTCAAGTTTTCACATTTAGCACGTAACATGACAATGCAACGAACGATAAAATTATACAAACTACCCGATCAGCCAAAAACTAAAGGATACCGCCGTATTCAACCTAAAGATATGGACAAGACACAGAAACTACTTGAAGAGTACCTCAAAAAATTTTCTTTGAGCCCAGTTTTCTCAAAAGATGAATTTCGCCATTGGTTTACTCCGAAAGATGGAATTATTGATTGTTTCGTTGTCGAAGATGAGCAGGGAAATATAACTGATATGACAAGTTATTACTGTTTACCATCATCGGTGATGCATCACCCAGTACATAAGACTGTACGTGCTGCTTATTCTTTCTATAATGTGTCTACAAAAACACCATGGTTGGAATTGATGAATGATGCGTTGATATCGGCAAAAAATGTACATTTGGACGTCTTCAATGCACTTGATTTGATGGAGAATAAAAACTTTTTCGTTCCCCTGAAGTTCGGTACTGGTGATGGCAATCTGCAATATTATCTATACAATTGGCGTTGTCCAGCTATGACACCAGAAGATGTAGCGCTCATTTTAATGTAGTTGACATTAGCTAGAAAAGGCTACACACATTAAAAACAACAATAAGAAAATAAAGGAAAATTCAGCACATACCGCAAGTAGTTAATACAAAAGCCAGTCCAACCAACCATCACGACAAAAAATTAAACATAAGTCGAAGAAGTTTGTTTCCATAATACATTGCATAAAATGTTAATGACGACAATTAATAATATTGTTAGACTACATAAAAGTAAAATTAGAACTTTGGTGGTTCTATGATGGATTCCCTTTAAAAACAGCACATGTGTTGAAAATTGGAAGTTGCACATGAGCAGCTTTAGTTGAATACAATATAGCACAACAAAGTTAAGTAATTGCAATAAAAACATACATATGTAACTATATACATATTTCCAATTTTATGTATATACTATGTACGTAGACGAGTATGCTTTAAACTAAGTTTACTTAATTCTTAGCGCCGTAGCTGAACAAAATTAGTATTTTGGCTACACGACTATGTAATTTATTAAAGATTTTTTGCAAATCTCTATTACTATGAGTAACGTTAAATTTTTTGAAAGATAAAATTTCAGACCACAGTTCCGTGAGTTTTGGTTTCGGATTGTTTAAGGACTACGAATAAAAGCAATAAAGCAATTTCCGATTTTTTCTTTAGATTAATTAATAACAAATTAATGAAACAAATCAAACACGATATTTTAAGCATACAAATATGGTAAAACTATTATAAAAGCCAATAATTTTTTTTTGTGAACTTTTAATCAAAATATTTATTAAGCTGGTCATTTTTTGTTGTGCATTTCCTACAAATATACTATTATTTAAAGACTTCATACACACCATTTGCCATTTATGCGTCATTTTTAGTTACCCTTAAAATATGTCGGTTATAAGTATTTCTTTATATTACGAAAGAAGTTTAAGTGACGCGTGTTCGTGTTGTTTTTGAGAAGTAAAAATAATTCAGAAAATAATGAAACTAAATTGAAGAATAATATCGAAACTTTCTAAACTTAACCTCAAATATATTGAATATCGAGAAGGTTTATCTCTCAAGTGTTTTTTCATTGCACGAATTCCATATTTTACTTACAAATATATATTAATAAAAAAAGCCGGCTTGAACAAGTCAATGTTAACTTTATGAATTATTTATTAACTACGCTACTCCCAATGGCTTGGCGAATCTAAACAGCAAAGGTACTCATTTAATGTGGCGAAATGAGAACTTGGGATAAATGAGCGCTCCGTGGCAATAATGGGATAAGTAAGCTGTTATTCATTTTCTGTGATCGTTTTTTCTATAAATATTTAATAAATTCATTTTGAAATATTGAAATATTACAAAATCATATTTAAATTTACTTACCTTATAATGCAAATTGCCATTTTGCAAAGTTTGCAGTAAATGCTACAAATTTGCAACCTTAAATGAGCGCCACTTTTGTATATTTCATTTTAGCGGTATGCGTGTTTTATTCCGGTTGCTTATTCGCTTCGCTACTATCCAAAACTTAGTTAATATTTTTGTTGTTGCTGTTGTAAGAAGACAGCTATTTATGAAAGGTTGTCTGTTTCTGAAAGTCGCATATTATAGCAGGTACTAAGTGTTGTCTACAAGTTGATTGTTCTATTCGCATATCTCCAAAGCTAAGAGAGCTGAATAACGATTATCAAATAGCTACTACTTTAAAATCGATATATATTTAATCGATATATATTTAATCGATATATTTTTAGTCATAAATACCCTGCAGGCCTTCTAATTAAACTTTCGTTTTGTACAGTACACTACAACTTCTCAAATCATACTATATACTTAATTGTGTTTATTCAATTAACAAGGGAAAGCGATTTCTCCCTTTGTTATCAATGAAAATCATAACATTTTGATTTTTTTCCTTTTCCTCCAAATAAATTATAAAGTTTCGATATGTATTTTTATTATGTCTTTAATATATATAGTTTTCAATTCCTGTATTGTGTGTAATTTCGAAATTTTTTTTTTTATTTTATTAAAGCTTACATAATAAACAAATTATAATATAATTTCGAATAATTAGTTGGTCCGATTGGTTGTATCGTCTAAATACTGGTTTAGGGTGAGGTTGTATGGCGCGAAAATTGACATTTGACACATAACATAAAGGTAAGATTTGCTCATTTTTTGCCATTACAAGAACTATTTTAATAGCTAGTATATATTTCTAGCAGAGATAGATTTTTATCATGAGTGATTCCACTCCTAAACATAAGTATCAAAAGTACAAAATACGTGTGAAAACATGGGAGCGCGATTTCAAGCGTAAATTTTCACGAGTTCCGTCCAAGGTGCTTAGTAAACATGAAACAAAAAGTGAAAATATTTTTTGCATACATAACTTTTCTATTTTCTATTTAGTATGATATCCGTGAGGCGCCACAAGAAATACGAGATGCTTACAAAATGTACTACAAATTAAAAACCTCATTACTGGAGGACACATTGAATGGTGTTTTTGATGACGACGGATTCAGTGTTCTTGAAATATCGCAGAGTCAAAGCGAATTAGCCCCAAATGAAAGTTCACAAATGTCCAGTAGCATTGCCGCGCTAGTCGGTAGTGCAACATCTTCAAATATGCCAGATGAATTAAAAAAGTCCAATGAAACGAAAAGAAAGGTTTTGACATATTCAGATTTCGGAGAAAAAGTAGTTAGAGAATTTGATGCGGTAGAATTTTGTGAATTAAATGAAAAAGCATGGGGACCGGAACTAAGTATACAAAACTTAAAGACTGAGGAAGAAGTTGATAAAAGTCCCAGCGAACCAGGTGCTTTGAAGAAGCCTTTCACATCCAGTTTATGTGCAAAACTTTTGAAGGCATCATCATTCAGTAAACGCAATCCGAGGAAGTCACTTTCTCGCGTTAATTCCGGTATGGGTACACCAATATCGCGTCAAGAATCTTTGAGTAATACTTCGCAGCAATCCGAAGTTTTACCCGATTTAGAGACAATACTGGTACAAAAAGCTAAGGAGCAACAAGCGTTGGCAGCGGTTACTGTCAATCCATTATTAGTAGGTGAGAATTCAGCTTTTTCTACACCAGACGGGTATACTTTACAGGAAGTTTTTAATATTTGGAGTAATTACTAGAACATCTATAAAACAGTTTCATCTGTTATTTCCTATATATTTCATTTTGTGAAATTAAAAGTTATTTTATTGTTAATTTTCAGGCAAGGACACCGCTACACAACTAAATATAGATGCCGGCTGGCTTAACCGTAACACCATTGATGAGGGACTAGAAGGAGGTGTAGACATTAAAGCGCAATCAGTCAAATCACTGCCCCGAACTCCAATAGTAGAGAAGCGTTTTGGACTGAGCAATATCAATGTCAAAACTGTGGTACCTTTGACTAATAATATTAATATAAAACATGAAGAAACGTTTAAAACAAATGTGGAAACTAAACAAGAAACAGCTCATAACACACTCCTAGAGGCAGGTGCGGTTGTTAATAACGATAATAATGGTGATTCCGATTCAGTTGTTTCTGATAGCGACGGTGAGGAAGCGGAGCAGGCTTATGTACACGTCGCCAAAAGGCGCAGGGTGTTGAAAACTATTGAAAAAAATCAAACGATTGAAAATTGTGATTTACCAGTGAAAAATAACGAGACAAATGAGCTGAAAGCAACAGTCACTAAGGAAGAATCTGCTACTTTGGATGCTCATAAAGAGGAGGTAAAACATTATGATTTCTCAGCAGATGACAATGATGATACTGACTATTCACCTCCAAAAACTAAGAAAGGAGCGCGCAAAACTATTAAGCCTGTTAAGAAGACAACTAAGGAAGCAAAACAAAAAACTAAAGAAAATGCTAAGAAATCAAAAACACAAAGAACAAGTAGGACTAGAAGTATTAATACCAAAAGAGGACCTGCCAAAGATAAGAACGATGTTACTGCTACGAATGTTGAAGAGGTAAACGAAGAACCAAATGAAAAGCCACCAGAAGCAGCTATGTTGCGTTATACAATGCTACTCGAGAGTGGTGACCTCACAAGTACGCCCCGAGTACCAAGCAGTGAGCTGGAGAAAGCCGACGAAGTTGCGCAGCGGTATATAAATAGCACACATGTGGTAGTCGCCAATGCGGAAACAGCAGCAACTAGTCAAAAAAATACACCTTTGGCAATTATCGATGAGAAGCGTGCGGCAGCAAGAAAAAAACTTGAAGAAAAAATAGCTGCTGGTAAACTTAATGAGAATTATGTATCGATAAATCTGCAAAAGAAGATATATGCACGCGGAAAAAGAAATGTTAATTACTCTAAATATAAGAAAAAAATGTGGCGCCACAAAAAGAAAATTGCTGCACTTACCGGTCCGGATATGGATATGGGCGGTTGTGATGGCGGTGTACTAACATGTTTCACTTGCGGGCAGGTGGGGCATTTCGCCGCACAATGTAAGATAAAGGGCGACTCATTATTGCCTCTAACGGCACAACTTGAAGAGGATCCATCACCATTTCCCACCCTTGAAGAAGCTGAGCGCATGGCGGCTCAGAGTGCTGTGGTGGCACACAGTAGAAATATATCGAGATTACCAGCTGCAGCAAATAAAGCAATGTATCAAAAAAATGAGGAAGACACAGAACCGCAACAAAATTCCGATCATGAGTCAGTTGCAGACAAAGACAGTAATGATGATGTCTCGGAAGGCCATGATGATGGTTCCTCTGAAAATGACGATAATGGCGATATATGTTTTGAGAGCGACGAAGAATTTGAAAATATTAATATTGATGAGGTTACCACATCGGCATCTCAAGAGTCACCTATTAAAAAATATGTGGGTCATAAAATACCGGAAGATTTTCTTGAAAAAGTTGGTCTGAATTTCAATTCTGAAAATGGCAAAACATCTGATAAACAATTCGGTGCAATTCAACCCATTTACGAACTCGATGCCGATGGTAATGTGCGCGAGGACATACCCGCCGAAGTGTCAGAGGCGCTACGTATGTTTGGGCATATAAATTTCCGAAAGGGGCAAGAACGTGCAATCATGCGTATATTATCCGGCGTGTCAACTTTAGTTACGTTAAGTACAGGCAGCGGTAAATCATTATGTTACCAATTACCTGCTTACCTATACAGTCATCGTAGGCGTGCAATAACATTAGTTATATCGCCACTCGTATCACTTATGGAGGATCAGGTGACAGGTGTTCCCCACTTTTTGCGTGCCCATTGCTTACACACTAATCAAACGCCTCAACAGAGAATCAAAGTAATGGAAATGATATCGGCGGGTGAAGTTGATATTCTATTGGTGTCACCGGAAGCTGTGGTGGCTGGTGAACGTTCGACTGGTTTTGGTGCCATTCTGCGACAATTGCCACCAATCGCTTTCGCTTGTATTGATGAGGCGCATTGTGTTTCTCAGTGGAGTCATAATTTTCGTCCCAGTTATCTGATGATTTGTAAAGTGCTCAAAAAGAATTTAGGTATTCAAACGGTTTTAGGCTTGACCGCTACAGCAACTTTACCCACGCGTTTGAGTATTATCAGCCATTTAGGAATACCAGATGGACAACGTGGTGTTATCAGTGATATTCCATTGCCAGATAATCTTCTGTTATCGGTATCAAAAGACGATAACAAGGACGCTGCTTTATTAAAATTACTTCTAAGTGATCGGTAAGTTATATTTTAATTACAATATAATTATACAAGACCGCTTATATTGATTACCACGCGTTCAGAGGGTCATGAGTGGTAAATTTGGTAAACCCCTAGTCCTTTGATATGTATATAATATATTTTATTATACTGTGGACAGTTTAAGTCTGTCACAAATTTTGTAAAGGATCAGTGTGAATAGCTGAGTCGATTTAGCCATTTCCGTCTGTATATATGCAAAGTAGTCTCTCAGTTTTAACGATATCCCCCAAAAAGCAGCTCATTTCGCAGAATCGCCGATATCGGACTATTATAGCATATACTGAACGATTATTTATATGTCCCCTTATGAAAACCCTTTCATTTGGCGATATATCTTCACGAAGTTATGGCACGGATTATTGTCCAAGGCAACGCTACAATCTCTGAAGAAATTTTTAGGATTGAACTAATATT